TCGACCAATCACCCGACGATGACTCGCCTAAGTGCGGATCTCGACTATAGGTCATCTGGAGTGTCGTACACAACTCTCGTTATAGTGACTTGGACGGTTGAAGTCACTGTATAGGGATATCGCTGTATCCACGAGTACGCTCACCTTAAATGCGAATCTGGTGTATGCCACACCAGATAATCTAAATTCGTCCTCAATCGCCATCACTGTCGAGACCACTGCCGGGAGGCAGAAAGGGGAAATCCCTACACCACAACTGCCTCTACCGCGACTCAAGCCACGCCATTGTGAGGGTCAAGGTGCCGACATGTCTTTCAGCTCAAGTTCATGCACCGGCCTCGTGTAAACGGCTTCCCGGGCCGTCTTTTCACCTATTATACCATTGGTGTCACGGAACGTACTCCACACGCAGTTTTGAAGCGTTAGATTTCGTATTAAGCTCAGACCACTTCGTACAACTTCATCAACGTTGTGAGCAACTGCTTGATTACCCCCCCGAAGCATACTGATCAACGGAGACAATGCTAGTTGCGCCGCCAATACCACTGCCGAGTCATCGTTGGAACTCGTACTGAGTTGGTGCCGTAATTTATAGCTCCAACACTGAGCGTGGTAAGCCGCAGCATAGTCACAAGGGTCTGCAAACAGGCTTCTGGTCACTTGTTCTCGCTTACGATGAAGTCTCCAACGCTGGTAGAGAACTATCGTCGACTCGCATCTTGGTTATCCGCACCTAGGTCATCCACATCTTGGTAAGCGGGCATTAGTCACAACCGGCTGTCATGTCTAACATATTACTAACTGAACGCACACTAAGCGACACAGGTGCAGCCCTAAGGCGGAAGTATCAAGCTGTAAATTTCTGCAGCAGTAATCGGTGACCGCCAGGTACCCTGTGCACGAAATGTTTCGTCGTCACGTGATGTAAATACTGCTTCAGCATTTAAAATGCAGTTCAACGTGACAATGGCGGTCGAGATGGTGTCGTAGATTATAGATATGTTCCATTCGCATCTCAACCAAAACAATTCAGTGCAATCTCGAGTAATCGTCATCCATTGAGACTTCGTTCACAAGTCGCGTATTATCCAATTCATACATTCATGCAACAGCAGTAGTAATTTTCGCCTGTTATTGTGAGCTGTTTTGGCTCACACCCAGGTCGTTCTTCATGACTTTTTTTACTTTCAGTCCTCGTCAGCGACTTGGACCATCTGTAGACGTTGCTCGCTCTTCTCGTTCCGCAAGTAGTCATACAGGAGTCCTTCACACGACAAGTTAGAGACTGGTTCCCATGTAGTTGACTCGTAGCCAACCCACTTCACCTCAAATTCGCGCACAGGCCGATCAGTGCTGGTTGACATTGGTGTTCTGTCGTCCAAAATTGCATCCACCTCGAATTCGCCGGCAACTTCGTCTGGCATCCAGCTGTATTCAGGCAACAGCTCTTCGACAAAATCAAATCTTGCTTCCTCGGCAACATCTCGAGCTAGTCGCGTCTTTGGCCGATCACAAAACTCGTTTACAGCCTTCAGTCGAAAGACGTGCACCACTGGATAGAACCGATACCCGCTTTTATCTGGTAACTCGAGCTCGTACGCGAATTATTCGACCTTCCGCTTCACTTTGAAGGGACCATATCATCGGTGAGCCAGCTTCTTATCTAATCCTGGCTTCACCCTCTCCATATACAGCCATATTCGACTTCCAGGTCGAAATAGAGACTTCGGGTCCGAGTCATCGTCGGGCGAGCCATCATTCACACCTTTTGGTACTGCGGCTTGCTCTTTGCGACTGAGCTTCTCGTTGTGAATTCTAGCACGTCGGTCCTTCTCCACTGCTTGGTATTCTTTAGCCATCTCGAGAGCGATCTGCTGCTGGCGGTTAATTTCTCGCCGCCAGGCTAATGCCTCAGTCTGCTTGCCGACACCTCGCTTCATGGAGGTCGTCATTGCTCGTTGTCGTATGGGCATCCCATCCATGTACCAAGTAGAATGGTGTCTCTTTCCTGGTCATATCATGGGAGTTGTGATCGCAAAGACTAGTCGCTCGGTAATCTCATCCCAGTCTTGCTGCAACGGGTCTTCTGCATAGACCTTGACTGACTGCTTCGCGGTCTTGACCGACCGCTCTTGCTGTCCATTCGCTTGTGGACGATAGCTCAGCGTTGACCTTGACCTTGCTTGGATCAACTCAGCGAAGGCCTGGAAGACCTCGCTCATGAAGCGTGGGTCTCGGTCGTGTCGAATAAGAGACGGAGCACCAAATCGTCTGTAGATACATTCTTCGAACACCTTGGCCACAGTCAGGGCATCGGTGTCAGACATCGCTTTAGCGATCACAAACACCGTAAACGGGCACTGCCATAGCAATAGGGCAGTGTTCCCTCGACGAGATCTGGGTAGAGGGATCACAAAATCCATTGACACCTGGAATGGTCGCTCTGCGAGCACATTGCCAGGTGAGAAGCCTTTGAGCTGCGGCAGGCTCTTACTCGAGCTACAGTCGAGACATGATTTCACATGTGTCTCCACATCTGAGTAGAGACCGATCCAGTAGTAGTCGTGTATTACTCTCTGATAAGAGCGGACGACACCTTGGTGCCCTCCTTGGATGGAGTCATGACAGTTGTGCAGCACCTCTTAGATCATTGTGGTTGGCACCACAAGTCTCAACGACATCTCGGGCAGGTTTTCATCGACCTTTCTTCTGCTCACACCCGTGTAATACAGGATATTGTCACTTAATAGCACAAAGTTGTCCAGCCACTTCCAGGCTTCTCGAGCTTCTTTGTAAGTCATCGCTGTGGTTGCGCCCCTCAGGACAGCTTTCAGGTTCGACCACATTAGCTCCTCGTCCTGGGCCTGGGCGATACGGTGCCTTCGCTCTTCTTGAACTGCAACCGGGTCAATGTCGCCAGCTGTTGGTTCGTGTCGAACCTCAGCACTTGGTCATTGCACCTGCATTTCCTAGTCCTCGGTGGATGCCTCAGTTGCCTCAGGAGTGGTCGCTCCCTCAGGAACTTCGTCCTCAAAGTGCACTCTTTTCTTCTTGGTCTTGGTCTGACTTCGAGTTGTAGCTGAGACCTCGGCGCGTTCCTGGTGCGCAAAATCAGCAAAGGTCTTGCGTTGTAGCAAGATATCTCTGGCTATAGCATGAATGTGACGTGTCGTTCCGTCTAGAAATTGAACGAAAGTCCCGGAACCCGTGTTTTTGACCTTGGTGTCGTCTGAAGACGGATCATAGATCATTTCTTAGATTCTGATTAGCTCCTTGAGCTCAGTCTTCCGGTGGTCGTTAAGCACCACTTTTGACACCTTCGACTCCAATGCTTCACCAGCGAGTGAGTGAGCCGCTGCGCTGTACTCGCGCACCCCGTGCAGATATCGGACTGACTTGAGCTTCGCAACGAGTTTTTGGTGGCGGTTCAGGAGTGTCATCAACGAATCCTTCCGACATGCGATCACCCCTAGTGATTGCTGGATTGCCAACCTCGAGTCTCCAACGATGACTAAATCCTCAGCACCATGTTCCAGGGCTGCGATCACCCCATGGTTCATGCCACTGTACTCAGCTATATTCACCGTAGTTTGTTCGAGGTAGGCACTCGCAGCGATCACTATCTGCCACTCCGGAAGGTTCCATACTATCCATGAGCAGCTACCGTAGCCACCATTCTTCTCTGTGGAACCATCAAATGAGACCACAAACCCTTCATAGTCGTGTGGTAGTTGAGTGTACAGCAGACTTGGGTCCAATCGAGTAGTCGGTGAACCTTTGGTAGGCGGTGCAACAAGTGCTAGCGAGTCGTCCAAGTCCACGAGTAATAATCGTTGCCTGGAGTAGTTGAGTAAATACATTTTAGTCCTTCCCCGAACTCGCTGGATTCCAATTGCCATGGTGACAGCAGCACCGCAACCTGCACTGCTCAACCGAAAAGCGACTTAGAACCCGTCCAAGTGTAGAGAATCGGGTGTACACATGCAGTGATTTCCCGCCAAATGGGTGTAACAAACTTTGAGCAACAGCAACAAAGCTAGTACTTTCTTTTCTGCCGAGTGATAGTTCATCTCGGTATCCATGAGGACTCGTCCGCAAAACCGGACAGGATGTAGTTTGTAGCCGTGTATCTGCATCAAGGTTTTGCTTAACGCCCACTCGTTGGCGTACAGCATGATGTGTACCTCCTTCTTCGCATCGAAATGTCGTAGGATAGGAGCGTCGGCTACTTTTCGCTGGAGCGCAGTAAAGCTCTCTTTGGCCGCAGTCAGGTCACCTCCTTCGGAGAAATCGCCCTCCTTCAACTGGTACAGCGCCGCTCCATAGACTGCGAAGTCCTGGATAAATGCGGCTGTAGTGGTTGGGTGGGCCAAGGAATTGTTGCATTCCTTTCTTTGACATAGGGAACGGCAACTTGGTTATGGCTGTCATCTTCTTTGGGTCAGCCCGGATTCCCTCTGGTAACACCTCGTGAGAGAGGAAGTCGACCTTGGGGGCCAGGAGAAAACGTGCCTAATACTGCTCTAAACCGATCTAAAAGTT